GGGTTTGAGGATCCATGGTGGCTACGGGGTGTCATTTCTTAACCTCATGAGTCATCAGAAGTTTCTCTAATGAAGAAATGAAGCTTTTGCCTGAAGCTCCAACTGTGCCCATGACAGGAACCCCTCTGAGTGTCTGGGACATCCCGGCTCTTTGGCAGCCTGGGGACTCCTGGGATATCACCATGGAGCCCCCGTGAGTGCCTGTGACAGATTGGTACCTTTGCAGCCCAAGGACGCCTGGGATGTCACCATGGAATGGCTGTGACTGCCTCTGACCACATGGTGCTTTACCATCCCAGAAACCCCTGGGAGGTGTCCATGGAGCCCCTGTCTCTGCATGTGACATTCCAGCTCTGGAACAGCCTGGAGACTCCTGGAAAGTTCCCATGGAACCCCTCTGAGGGCCTGTGACAAATCTGATCCTTAGCAGGCAACCATCACCAGCCCCCTGTTGCTATGGTCAGTATCCATGGCAACCATTACCAGCCCCCTGTTGCAATGGTCAGTTTCCATGGCAACCATCACACACCCCCTGTTTTATGGTCAGTTTCCATGGCAACCATCACCAGACATCTGTTGCTATGGTCAGTTTCCATGGCAACCATCACCAGCCCCCTGTTGCTATGGTCAGTCCCTCGGGAGCTCCATGGAGACCCCATGCTGGGGTGGTTGCCATGGACACCAGCTCAAGCCTGCAGACACAGCCCGTTGCCATGGCAACCATTGGCAGCCCCCCCCATTCCCAGGCTCATGGGATCCCAGAACCACAGAATTGGCTGAGCTGGGAGGGACCCATCAGGATCCTCCAGTCCAACTGCTGGCCCTGCACAGGACACCCCAACAATGCCAGCCTGGGCCTGGCAGCGCTGTCCAAACGCTGCTGCAGCTCAGAGAGCCCTGGAGCTGGGACCCTTCCCTGGGGAGCCTGGGCAGGGCCCCAGCACCCTCTGGGCAAAAAACCTTTTCCTGACATCCAACCTGAGCCTGCCCCGACTCAGCTGCAGCCGTTCCCTCCACTCCTGTCCCTGGGCACCAGAGGGAAGAGGTTCCCACAGCCCCAGCCAGGGACCCGCTCCCAAGGCTGTTGCCATGGCCACCAGGGCTGGGACCAGCTGGGATGCTCGGTTTCTGTGGGATTTCTGGGCTGTTCAGATGGTCTGGGGAAAAGCCCAAAGGTGGCCTTGGGCCCCCGGGTTCGAAAGGACGAGAGGAAGCTTCAGATTTGTTCTTGGTCTTGGTGTTTATTAATTGCTTATCTAAAAGATTTTCTCTTGGCCTGACAGAGTTCTGCTCAGCAGTCAGCCATGGGCACACACTGAAAGCCCCTGGAGCGGTCACCTATCTTTATACCCGGAGTTACGTATACCATATTTATCATTTTTCTCCAATACCCTCTACCCTTCTTAACCAGTGTTCCCCTAGTAAGGTCCAATCCCGGAGTGCCAACATCACCACAGAAGATGGAGGTCTAGAGGAAGAAGAAGAAGGAGAAGGGCACGCCCCAATTCCTCCATCTTACTTCTCTAGACCCCCCTGTACAGAAATCTTAAACCCTGTATCTCACACTCCAATTAACTTGTCCCTTCACCATTCACCCCAGTGAAATCCTCCCGTCCTCATACTGATGTCATCTCCCATGTGGGATCAAAGTCCAGCCACCAGACATTTCTGGCAGCATTCCAGGACTCCCGAGCCCCCCAGTTCTGAGAGACTGAGATCCCACATCTCCCCCTTCTGTTTGCACCAAAAGACCCTTTTTTTTTTTTTTTTTGCTTTTATGTGAAAACCCCCCAAAGTCCTTAGTTTCTTTTCATTTCTCTTCTGGGTCGTTTTTCGCAGCCTGAGTCTCGACTTCTGTCTGAGTACTCGTCTCTCTGCTTCTTGGATCAGCATTCTCGTGTTCTCGCGTTCGGAATGGCTTCACATGCCGTGCCGACACCCACTTCAGACCTCGATCTGTGGAGATACAAGCGAAACCCTTTCCCCAAGAGATTAGTCTGAAAGGACCCTCTATTTGACCTGTTTCTGGGTTTCTGACCAAAACCAAAGGATCTCCCTTTAGCTTTGCCTGTGTGTTGTTTAGAAAATGTCTCACGATCGGTGGATCAGATGGATAATCCCTTTGTTGTGTTAACATTGTCTTCTTCGAGGTGCTTTTCTTTTTATATATTGTTGGAAAAAATTGCTGCATTGTTGCAGTCTCGCCACGAGATGGCGCTGTGGCTCCGCCGAGCCGACCCGGCATGTCGTGCACTTCTGCCCTCCTGCCACTAGGTGGCGCTGTCACCGGCCTCCCTGGCTCGGATGACGGTGCAATCTCGACTACCCTACTTCCTCTTCCGGCTCGGCGTCTCCCGTGAGGGGAAGGAACTGAAACTCCGAGGCTCGAGACCAAAGGCACCAGATCTGGAGACGGAGTGGAGCCCTGGGACGTAGAATCCCTAGCACGGCCCCTCCTCACCCGCGACGTCACAGGGGACCGGGCTCGGGCCCGCCCGCGTCTTACTCTCTGCGCGTGCGTGCTCTCTGAGCTACTTCCGGTGTCCCCTAAGGTAACGTCATCATCGTCTCCCCCCTGTTTCACCTCCGAGGTTCCCGCCCCTCGGTCTGTCCCGGAATCCGACCCCTCCTCCTCTGACGTTGTGTTCGCCTCCCCCGCCGGCACCCCGGCTCTACCCGCGATTCGAGCTGACCGTCGCACCGGCTCTGACGTTACACCCGCGCGCCTCCTGCGTCCCGCCGCGGCGGCCCTCCGGGGCTGCGCGTTTTCCCTCAGCCCGCCTTGCGCGCTCGCGTGTGAGTCTACACCCCGGTTTTTGCGAGTTTCGCCCTTCGCGCGCGTGTCCTCATCCTCACCGGCGCTGCTCGCGCCCGCCGCCGCCGCCGCGTCGCCGCTTTCGCCGCGAGCAGGCCCCCCCCCCGATCCCTTATCTTCCTGCTCCCCCCCTTCTGCTCCTGACTCCTCCACACTCTCTGGAGTTTCAGGACGCCCTTGGGGTTTGTTGCATTTTTTGATCGGGGGTTTTAATATTTTTTCCTGCTCTCTTTTTTCAAGAGCCCTTTCCCCCTGGCCTTTCAAAGCCAGAGCAATTTTTTTCCCGGAGCTCTGCCGCTCCGCCCCCTCCTCTGAGGGTGCCGCAGCTTCTCGCTGCTTTTCCAGCCTTTTAGACTGCACTAAAATACCTTGTAACATGATTCTTGCCGGCGAGAGTAGCTTTAACGCTGTCTCATCTTTTTTTGTTGCTAAAATATATAAATGCCTATTAATCTCTTGCCAAAACCCGACTTCGAACAAAAGATATGTCTCTGCAAGTGGGTAATTGAGCCTTGCCCATAATAACAGCTGTTTTAATTCTTTCTTTGGGATCCCTTCTGTATATAATTCTGCTACACTTTGTAAGGTGGATAAGATTTCCCGTTGTTCTTGGGAGAGTGTTGCCCCCATAGTATTATTTTGGCCTTCTTACCGAATCTGTCGCCAGCGTGGTCTGGAGGCCCTTGTTCTCCGTCCAGCAGATTACGAGGGATGGATCAGAGGCGCCTTTCTGGTCCCAGTCCAGGCCGCTCTGCTACGAGCTGTCTTCAGCAGAAGCTGAGAGATGGGATTTCTCAGTGACTGCTGATTTTTGCAGCTTCTCCCGGCCGGTTTTTTCTTTTTCTTCTTTCTTTCTTCAGGCTTCCCTCCTCTGGAGTTATCAGTGCTGTTCTCTTGGCTCTTCAGCTCTTCAGGGCTTTCCCCCCCCCGAAAGGTTTGGTGGGAGATAGCCCGCACAGCGGACGCCAATTGTGGGATTTCTGGGCTGTTCAGATGGTCTGGGGAAAAGCCCAAAGGTGGCCTTGGGCCCCCGGGTTCGAAAGGACGAGAGGAAGCTTCAGATTTGTTCTTGGTCTTGGTGTTTATTAATTGCTTATCTAAAAGATTTTCTCTTGGCCTGACAGAGTTCTGCTCAGCAGTCAGCCATGGGCACACACTGAAAGCCCCTGGAGCGGTCACCTATCTTTATACCCGGAGTTACGTATACCATATTTATCATTTTTCTCCAATACCCTCTACCCTTCTTAACCAGTGTTCCCCTAGTAAGGTCCAATCCCGGAGTGCCAACATCACCACAGAAGATGGAGGTCTAGAGGAAGAAGAAGAAGGAGAAGGGCACGCCCCAATTCCTCCATCTTACTTCTCTAGACCCCCCTGTACAGAAATCTTAAACCCTGTATCTCACACTCCAATTAACTTGTCCCTTCACCATTCACCCCAGTGAAATCCTCCCGTCCTCATACTGATGTCATCTCCCATGTGGGATCAAAGTCCAGCCACCAGACATTTCTGGCAGCATTCCAGGACTCCCGAGCCCCCCAGTTCTGAGAGACTGAGATCCCACAGGTTTCCACAGGCCAGGGTTCAGGAATGGGATTCCCCAATTTCCTGCTCCTGCTAAAACCACGCTGCCCTCGCTGCCCTCCCGCCTCCCATGGAAAGCACAAAAGGCAAAGATCCTGGGCTGGGATAAGAACAATTTATTGGGAACAGCAACGAGATAAGGAACAAATGGAACGGAAAAACTATTGATCACAGAAGGGATAAATAAAACTGTTTACAGGGAAAACTAAAACACAACTCACTGGCTCTTCCCAGCAACATATTTCCCCCACCTGGAAAGGACACCCTTCTTCTCAGGGAGAGAGAGAGTCCCTTTCCTGCCCCTGGCAATAACCTGAGGTGAGAATGAATGTAATGACAGGACCATGGAAAGACCCTCATGTACCTCAGTTCTACACCATGTCATTGACAGGGGAAGGTATTGGGGCAGTTGTCTTCCCAGCATGGATCATAGGGAACATGGATCACCCGCGCTCTTCCCAACGTTAGACCTACATTGAGGATGAAGCTGGAGCAGTTCACAAAGCCCCTCCTGCAGCTGGGGCACTAGCAGGGCTTTCCTTAGTGGCACCTCCGTTGGTGTTTTGTCATGTTAGAGCTATGGGTGAAGCTCTTCCCACACTTGGGGGCACTCGTAGGGCCTCTCCCCAGTGTGGATGCATTGGTGGGTGATGAGGTGGGAGTTTTGCTTGAAGCCCTTCCCACACTCAGGGCAGTGGAAGGGCCTCTCATCTGTGTGAATCCGCTCATGCAGGAGGAGATTGGAGCTGCTCTGAAACCTCTTCCCACAGGTTGGGCACTTGTAGGGCCTCTCCCCAGTGTGGGTGCGCTGGTGCCTGATGAGGTTGGAGTTGTTCTTGAAGCCCTTCCCACACTCAGGGCAGCGGAAGGGCCTCTCCTCTGTGTGAATCTGCTGGTGCTGGAGGAGACTGGAGCTGGTCTGAAACCTCTTCTGACACTGGGGACACTCGTAGGGCCTCTCCCCAGTGTGGATGCGTTGGTGCCTGATGAGTTCTGACCTGTAGCTGAAGCCCTTCCCACATTCCCCACACTCGTAGGGCCATTTCCCGGTGTGGATGCGTTGGTGGCGGATCAGGGTGCTCCTCTGCCTGAAGCTCTTCCCACACTCCAAGCACTTGTAGCGCTTCTCTCCATCATTAAGCTGCTCATGGACCACCAGCTCTGAGCCCTGGCTGAAGCTCTGTCCACCTTCCTGCCTCAGGGAGGGTCTTTCCTCCTCAGAGCACCCCAGACTGGGTTTGCAGCCCCTCTTCCTATGGAATATCTGGGGAGTTTCCTCCCCGTTGGTCTCCTGTGCCCTGGAGTCACTCATCACGGCCTCTTCCTGCAGGTTCTGCTTTGGGGATTTGTCCTCCCTGGTCCCAATCCTCAGCTTCTTCTCTGGGGGAGGAAAGACAAGGAGAGGATGGGATTTGCCTCCGTGCCAGAGGGCAAGGGAAGGAGATTCCCCCAGTGCATCTCCAGTAAGATGGTGTTGGCAGCAGGGTTGTCCTGCAGCTGGGGGCCATGCTGGGCTGGGAGATGGGGCAGGAGAGAGGGGGAAAGGGGCACTGATTTCCTTCTCCCCTGCCTGGGTGTCCTGGGGATCCTTCTTGTTCCTCACAGCCTCCTTTTCCATTTGGCAAAGGTTTGGGGATGGGAAATTCTGTTTTGGGAGGAAAACAAGGAATGAGTGCATTGAGTTTTGCACTGGGTTTAAGGCAAACCTGGGGAGGGTCTAAACCAGAATTACAATTTAAAAGAAAACTAAGATCAAGGCAATGATACAGAAACACTGCCTTAAACTGACAGAGTCAGGATATAACCTGACACCCTGTATGTAAGGGTGGTGGCTGAAGTCCCATTAAATGGTGGCTGCAGTCCTGTTGGAGAGGTGAACGTGATTCTGTCAAAGCAGTGATGCTGTAGAAGGGTCTGGCCTTCCTCTGGAGGTCCAGTGGTGGTTAGGGAGCTCTTGTCCTCTGGCAATCCGGTAGGCAAGGTGCTCCTGGTTGTAGCAAGGCTCAGCTTATATCCAGGCAGGAATGCTTGGTTCCTCCCCCTGGGCGGAGCATCCCACAAAGGGATAATGGAATTTTATCAGTCCTGCAGTGACACTCAATGGCCCATTAGCCCAAGATATCTCCCCTGGAGGGCGTTATCAGGGGTGAGTCATGGAAGAGATAAAGAACACTGCCCCACCTGTTTCTAACAGTTTATGGAGATGGTGATTGAAACCATGCATTTGGTTACATCTTGCATTGCAACCTGAAACAGTGGGGTAATCCCTGCTCAGGGGGGTGAACACCATCCCCCTTACCCAAACTGGCTCAGCTGTAAAACCCCCACACACAGGGGACAATATCACACTTGCCCTGCTCCAGGGGAGGTCTCTGTCCCTTGTCACTCATCTTTTCTCTTTCTTTACATCTCTCTACCTCACATTTACTGTTCAATAAAAACCATTTTGGATTTGGTGTCGTTAGCACCTTAATTGGGGCAGAGGAATCTCTCTAACAATTTGCATAACCAGACTGTGACATTATTTTTGCACAGTGTGTTTAGGCGCTGTTCTCTGAACCCAAGTGCCTTTGACTACAGCATGGCTCCCTCCACTGACGAGGTTGTGGTTCTCTCTGGAAGAACTCTTGGAAACTTGGACACAGTCTCTCCTTCCTCCTGCGGAGCTTATGGAGCTTATAAAAGTTTTTTTTCTTTATGGGAGAAATGATGAGGAAAATGGCTTTTATGGCTGGCCAGTGTAAAGAAAATAATTTGCTGCCTTTCCTTATAAAGTTGTTAAAATCACTGGAGGAAATGGAGCAAATCTTACCAGTGAGACTGACAAGGTTCAGTCACCCCATGGTGAGGCATGCAAGGCAGCTAAAAGTCCCAGAAGAAGCCCAGCTCAAGTAGATAAATTTCTGAATAAGTCCTGAATTCCCAGGCTTGGGGGCTTTACCAAATGTGACAATCATTTTTCTCTTTATCCCTATCACCTTTGTGACTGCTACACACAGCTTTCCATTCCTTTTAATAATCTGTATTGGGCCAAATTTCCACTTTCCTTTTATTGAAACCTGCCAGCAGCTTAGCTGGAGCTGTGCAGGAAGCAATGAATATTGGAATTGCCACTTCACTGCTTGGATTGTCAGTCTATTCATGTTTGGGATTTGTTTGCACTTTCATCACAAGTTACTTGTGGGAAGACTATATATTCTTCACAGTGATTTTGCAGAGTCAAATTTGATCTCTGCCAAGTTTATTTTGTCCAGTGCCCAGAGGATGCTCAAGGGGTCTCTGTGCCTCTCGCACTGGGGGATGCTTGGGAGGGGTTTGGCGGGGGGGGGGAGGGTTTCCTCTCCCTGTCAGCCCAGACTGTTCCCCAGGGGGTTTCCCTGTCCCTGTCACCCCAGGCCATTCCCCAGGGGGTCTCCATAATTTTCACCCAGGAAATGCCTGGGGGGTCTCCCTCCCTCTCACCCCTGTGCCAGGGGGTGCTCGGGGCAGTCTCTGTCCCTCTCAGCCCAGGGGATGCTCAGGGGTCTCTGTCCCCTCACCCTGGGGGATACTCGGGGGGTCTCCATCCCTCTGGCCTCAGGCAATGCCTGTGCAGGGCTGGGGACCAGGGGCTCTGTGTCCCTCTCACCGCTGAGGGTGCTCAGGGCTGGGGGGGCTCTCTGACCTTCTCACTCCTGGGGAGGCCGGGGGGGTCTCTGTCCCTCTCAGCCCTGCTCTGACCTCACCCAAACATCATCGGGGTCAGAGGGATAGAGACACCCCCAAAGCCCCAGAAGGGATGAACCTGGCATTTGGTTTGGGCCTGAGGATTTTGGAAGGGGCTGGAATTGGGGCTGGGCTTGGAGTTGGGGCTGAGATTGGATTAGAGCTTAGATGGGGGTTAAAGCTAGACATGTGATTAACTTTAGGGCTGGGGTAGGGATTGGGTCTGGGGATAGATGAGTTTGGGACTGGGATGAGAATAAATACAAAACTGTGAGTGTGTCTAAACATGGAGTGAGACTGAGACCAGGATCAGGGTCAGGTTTGGGATTGAGCTCACCCAGAGCGGGACAGGGGGGATGTCACAGTGGGAAGGTTTGGGGAAAATCCTGGTTTGGGGAAAAACAAGGTGTGAATGCCTTGGGCTGCGGACTCCTCCAACCCATGTCCATTTCTAGAAGTCACCTGATGTCCAAAAATCAAGAGTGAATAAAAAAAAGCCACCAGGAGTTTCCCATTTCCAGTCTCATCCCTCTTGGGTTATGCTTGCTCCCCCATCTCAGGGCTGCTGGGGATTCCATCGGTCCTGGGGATCCCTCCTCTCCAGGGTCCTGCTTTTGGATTCTGGAAGGTTCTGGGGTCCCAAGGTCCCCCTCTCCAGCCTCCCCTCAGTCCAGCCACTTGGGGTTCCCCTTTCTTTCCACCACCCTGTTCTAGTTTAAGGCAAAATCGGTTGAAACCCTCCAAAAGGAGTTTCCTCTAGAATGCCGATTCAGCAGCCCCACCCTCAGCCAGTCCGGGAAAATATTTCCGGGGAGAAAAGTGGAAAAAAACTTTATTCTACAGGCAAAGCATTCACCAGCACAAAAATTGAACAATATTAAGCAATGAAAACTCCTGCTGCTCCAAAATAGATGACAAACTCTGAAAGTCCCTCCTTGAGTTGTAGCTCTGTGCACTCAGTGTCTTATCAGTGCCTTATCAGTCTCTTATCAGTCCATCCAGCGCTGGAAATGCCTCAGCCCAGGCCCGTCCCAGTGGACTTCACGGAGGAGCTGCCGGTGGTGTTCTGGGTGTTCAATCCAGAGCAGATTTAAACAGCTCCAAAGAAAAAGAAAAACCACAGTCCAGGGAACTTCTCTGCCTCAGCGAGCTAAAAACTAACTAAAAGCAAAGGAGAGCTCTGTCCTGCTCTCTGTCCATCCAGCAGCTGGAATGTAGAGGAGTGAGTACAGTTTCTGAAAACAAACTGCTGCTTCTTCCTCCTCCCCTTCGCTCTCAGAACCAGCCTTAAAGGTGCAGAACTCATTTCTGGGCTAAACAGACCGATGGGGTACGAGCATCATGAAGTCACCCCAGGACACGCCCCTGTCAGGGTCAGGGGGTCCCGTCCCCGCCTCATCTCCGGGCTGCCGGGGGTGCCCCAGCTCCGGTATCGCCCCTTCCCCTCTCCCCGCCCCGGGGGTCCCCCGTTCCACAGCCCCGGCTCTAAGGGGGATCCCAAAACAAATGTCCCGCCCCGTCGGTACCGGGCCATCCCCACGTGGACCCCCCGGGACCCTCCCGAGGGGCGATCGCAGCTCCTCTCCCCCCGAAAAAGCTCCTCTTGGGGAGCTCGGAGATACCCGGGGCTCGAGTCCGGGATCTGCCGGCTCCGAACACTCTCCAAAAAATCCTCCTGGAGACCCCTGGCTGGAGCCGGGTCGAGCTCGGCCTCCGCCCTCCCCTGCGGCTCCGGGCTGGGGGCGATGCTCCCGGGGCAGGGGGCGCTGCAGGCTCGGCGTGCGGGCGCTGCGAGCGCCGCGATTCTCCCGCTCCCGCTTCTGCTCCTCCTCTCCCTCCTCTTCCTCCCGCATTTCCTCCGCTGCCAGCCCGGACCCCCCTTTCCCACTGCTCTGCCCCGCGGCCCCGCAGCACCGGCTGCTGGGTGGGGGAGCCCCCGATCGGCCCCAGGGCTGGGCAGGGGGCTCGGGGACCCCCCCGGGGCGGATCCGTCCCCCGGCCCGAGCCCCAAATTCCGCTCGGGGCCGCCGGGCTCTGTGGGTCCGCCTGGCAACCGGTGAGTCATCGAAGAGAAAAGCTCTGGTTGGCTGGAAATTGTTTACCGCGTCCTCTGATTGGCTGGAATTCTCAAAGGCGCTACGCCCGGCGGGTGTCCCTGGGAGCTGCGGAGTCCAGGCGGGAACCTTTTCCCATTTCTTTATGTTCTCTGAGACCTCTTCCGGATTTCTTTCTCTCCCTTTCTCCTCCCCATTTCTTGTTCCGTTCAGTCCACGTTCAATAATCGTCGGTTGCGTTCCCACGCTCTCATTCGCTCCTTCACTGGGGCAGAGGCGTCTGTCCCTCGCGGGGTCGTAATCCATGGACAGGGTCCCTTCCCACCCCAGTCCCTGGAAAATTTCCATCAAAGCCACCTTTGCTGTGTGCTCTGGGAGCCCACAGAGCTGCTGGATCTTCTCCCCTTGGGAGGCACGGCAGGAGCAGCA